TATTTTTTCTCAAATCTCTTTTTGTGGCATATTTAAAGTCATTATTATTATTATTATTATTATTATTATTATTTTCTTTGATTTCTGGCGTTTACACATTTTTTTCCGGGTCTCGCCCAGGGACCTAAGGTTAGAAATGGCATTATGACACTTTCCACTGACATTCTTTGTTCTCCCACCCCCTCTCAGGAAAAAAATGATTTCACGCTGAAAAAAAAAATTCCCCATCTTCGTAGTTTGGTATATTAGACCGTAGTAAACTAATAGTTTTCACTGTTTAAGTTTCCATCAACTTTTACCAATTTTCTACTATCGCTTTTAATGCAATCCCACATAATGTGTCCACGATCAATATTTACTGTCTTTGTGGTGTATTTTGCATTGTTTCTTTCTCCTAATGGTTTGCTTACATATTCTCTTGTGTTAGAATTTAACTCTATTTTGCATTTATCACTAAAAATTACTTTTTGCCACTTTCCAGCATCCTATGTGATATGTACTTTTGACCATTTCAAGCTACTGTTTCCGATGTTTTTGGTTTATGTTGATTTTTTTCCTGCTATATGCCCGTTTAAGTTGTCTTTATACTAATACTCTGCGTACTGAATCAACTGAAATCTCATTGTCAAGACTGCATTCACTCCCCACTTGTCTGGCTATTAATTTTGGATTGCTTACCGAAACTCTCACAATCTTTCTTTCATCTCTCTAGTCTAACTTTTGTTGTCCCCCAGTTATCTTTTCACTTAAAAACATTTCCAGTCGTAGCAATTCTCTTTTGGATGGTTTGAACACTGTCGAATTTCCCAGCCGTCTGGCTATCTCTCGTTGTCATCATCCCTTCAAAGTCACAATCTTCATCTTTGTTTCAGCAGAAATTTTAATCATGATTTAAGTGTAAAAAAGTTAGCTAATGTTCAACTACAAGGCATCTGACACTCATGCTAATAAGATAAAACAATTCATACTTAGAAATTTCCCACTTAAAAATTTACATATTATAATGACTTTATCATCCCAGACTTTTCATTACCCCAGTACAGTTGCATGGATTTTTCTCAGCTTCAAACTGCTTCAAGTGATGTATCTTTTGTTACACGGCAATTTAAAAAAAGCAGCAACTTATTTTTCAGTCCTTAATCAAATAACGATGTATAATCATTTTATGTAGTTAGGCCAAAACCTTTGCCTTCCAGTGTCGAGTCATTGTGAACTTAATTATCATGTCGATGACTTCATAGTATATGTTATACCAGGGCTAAATACGGTTATGAGTTTCCTTTCTTCTAGAATGGTTGCCAACCACGGCTAAAGAGCCTTGTCTGTCCTGCTATTTAACCCATAGCTGGAGGAGAAGAGGTGGGTTCATAACTTTCCCAAGAGTATTTAACCAGTGATCAATGGTTAAAAATGGCTTTGATCCAGTGAACCCTGTGGGCTTTGACGAAGACCATCTTTCTTCAAACCTTGTGGACTGGCGCTACAGAATCATAAACAAAGAACTGTATCAGATAACAGAAACAACATCACTTGAGAATTCTGAAAAAAGCAACAAGTAAAATGGATATTACAAGCACACGAAGAAAAAATAATGACGTAATCAATATGTTGATATTTTACACGACTTCAAATAAAAGGTTAGGAAGGAAATTCCTGTTATAGACAAGCGTATGGTTGCAAGAAAGAAATACGACAACAGCAGAAATAGATTTACGTGGTTTATTTCAACAGGAACGTGTGGGTTTGGGACAGCTACCTTGTGGTAAAGATCATAGGCCGGCTTCGGATCTAGGTCGATCTCTCATAGTAGTTCACACATGTTGACGGTGGTTGACGCTCCCCTGCTGTCAGTAGCCGACCGTGACAGGTCTCTACTCTGGGCACCTGTTGACTGCCTGTTGAACTTCCGTGTGACCTCTTTTATAGCGTTTTTTTTTTTTTATGGCTTAACAGGCTCGAAAAACGAAGTGAGTATAATTAGGAGGGAAGCATTTTTATTGGACGAAAAATAGAACACTTTAATTATTATTTTATTTTTCGACCGGAACTCGTGTGTCGGGAACATTTGTAATTGAAGGTAATGGTCATTTTGTGACGGGGCTTTGTCCCGTTCACATCCGGCTCTTGCTCTTGAGTATTTGCCTGTAAATCAGCCGAGATATGTCTTATTTTATTTTATAACATTCCCCATCACTACTAGAAAGAGCGATACAAGTTACTGGACTTGAGAAACCTATTTTCCTGAAAAATTGTTTTAAAAGAAAGATTGTATATCTTTCAACCGAAAATAGTACTGACTGTTCGGCCAATGAATGTCGAATGTTTTCTTATAAAAAAACAGTTAATTACCATTTGATGGTTATTATTAATTATTCTTAGTAAATCTAATATTGCTCTAATCAAACTTGCATCCATCTTGTATACGGTAGTTTCTAAAGTCAAAGGTACGCTCTTGATTCATATTAGAAGATAATGATGAACTAAAAAGAAAATCCTTTCAAGAGAAAGATTTTATTAATTTTGACCAACAGTAGTCCTGGCTGCTCGGTCAATGAATACTAAATGTTTCTTTATAAGGAAACAGATAATCACTGCTGCGAGTATTATCCATTTCTTAGCTAAAGCGTTTAAAGGTAAATCCCTAAACAATATTCTAACAAAGACACATAGGAATAACAAGTGATATTATTGTCGGTCGCTCTCATTAATAACAGCAGTTATAAAATGCAGATTTGGCGAGAAAGAGAGGGGGGTGCAAATCATATGAAACTGGATACAACCAGTATTTAAAACTTTTAGTGGAGCATACATAGGAAATAATTTATAACAAACAACAATAATAAGGTAGAAATGCACACGTGCAGTTGTTATATAAAATGTCCGTACATGTGAGTCTTTTCTCAGGACGATGAAATGTGTCATAGTTGTGAGAACTTAATTTCAGGAGATGTTAGTTAACTAACAGTAACAATATCGTCTAGTTAACGTCTATCTGCAATGATGAACCGATGAGAAAAGAGAAAAAAAGAGAGAGAAAGCGGTTATGTTCCTGCGAGCATGAAAATGAATGTAACGAACTCTGCTAGAATTCGAGCTCGGCACGTCGAGGAATATTCAAAATTTTCCTAGTTTTTATAGATATGCGATTAAGTAAATAGATAACTTAATTATTGTAAGGATATGGTCAGATATGTCATATGTGATTGGAATTTTTTGTCTCGCAGAAATCTTTTAAAATGGGAATGGCCGATTTGTCTGACATGAAAATCAACTCATTAAATAAGTAGCCTTTTTATTTGGATTCAAACAATAACTCGATGATAAATATACAAAATACTTCAATCATCAAACAGCATCGAGTCAGATATTTCATTTCCAATGTCCGAAAATTCGGCATCATATTCCTGTGTGTGTGCGCGTTGAAGAGAAATAAATATATGTGGATACGGAACATTAGACATACGTATTTACCCTGAAAATAAAATCAATCCTCGTCTATGAGATTATTGTAATGGAATATCACCTGTCCATTTTCGAGAATAAAGTAAAAAAAACTAAGGCATGGCGGCTTGTACGCCATTTTTCTTAGTAAATAACAGCCAGTGCTAATGCACGAAGCTGATCAAACGCCTGGAGTAAAAAAAAAAATTGAAGGACGCTGGCGTCGCAAAAACGCCACTTTTAAAAATTATATATTGCTTTTAAACAAAGAACTAAACAAAAACCTTCACTTAACATTTTTTACAACTTTACTACCTGGGTGAAAAAACTATACTTCCATTATTGTGGAAATTTGAAATTAAAGTGAGGTAAGTAAATTTAATATTGCTGATTTTCCGATAATGAAACTAATTTCATCCACTAATGCCCACCGTAACATCGGTATTCATTTTTTTAAGTCATTTCACCCCAAGCAAAGCAATAAAACCACTAAAACACAAAGGGGTTGCTGAGTGTGAGAGAATATGACAAAAAAAAAAAAAAACTAGTAAGGAGAGAGAGCAAAAAAATCGAATTAGAATAACGACTGAAGTTGCATTTATTTACATTTTTGAATATCAAAGTTGACTGGAAAACAAGAAGCCTCAAGCGTGAAGTGCGATAGAAAAAACTAATTAGCATAAAAAAACTTACGCTTTCTTTCAATAAGTCGCCGGAAAAAAAAAAAAACAAAAAAAAAAACAGCATAGCATGATGAAAAAAGGCCCCAAACTTAACAAAAACAAAGGTTTATCGTGAAAAAGTTTGTTATTAATAAGAGGAAAGACAAAAGTATTTTTAATTTTTTTATTCCTTTTTAGCACGTTCGAAAATTTGGTTGAAAATCTTGTATTTAGCATTAGTTTTTTAGCGCTTTTGCCAGTTAAAAAAACACATTAATTTGGAAATTCTAGCAAAAATCAAATAATTGTCGGATTTTAATGAAACTTTCAGAAATTATTCAGAAATGAATGAAATTATTTTAGAAATGTTCGTTTTTTAGAAAGTCACAGTAAAAATGTTTTTTTTACACCTGTTACCCCCTACCTTATTAATTTTATGAAAACTCGAAAAATCGACTATATATATTTTTGTGACTATTTTAAATTAAATGGTGAAGACTTTGAAGAATATATAAATCATCTATTTTTTTTGGTAAATCGAGAACCGCTTCTACGCAAACTTTAGCTCTGAATTGTAAAATACAAACCTGTAATATCCTAGCAACAGAAGGGAGATAACCCATAGAGGCACAAGAGTTAGGTCCCCTCCAGACATCCGGTGAATCTTAATCAGCAGCTACACAGCAAAAGGGAATTGGAGGCTACCATCACCGGAGGGACAATCAAGAACCATCCTAAAATCCTAGCAAGGCATTAATCGACGCCTAGCAAGCATCGATAGCTTCTTGCGCAGAAAATTACATTGGCGACGAGGACTGAGTCGTTACCCTCACAAAAACAGAACATCAACACACTTAAAAAAAAAAAAATTCAACAAGTGTTCGATATATAACCAATATGGCCGCCGTTCCACACTACCCCGAATTTGATTGTGAGTCAACAGCAAGAGCAGCAAGATGGACAAAATACATAAAAAGACTGAAAAACTATTTTGTCGCACATAACATTGAGGATGACAAACGGCAAAAAGCAATCCTTCTAACGTTTGTCGGCGAGGCTACGAATGACATTATCGACGAGATACCACAGGAGCGAGTCACACCAGAAAAAAATGAAACACATTTCGACAAGCTTGTCTCAGCGGTGCACAACCACTTTAACCCGGAAAACGACACGGAATACAACCGATTTGTGTTCCGGAAAATTAAACAAAATAGCCCAGGCATCGAAGAATTCTACCGCAAACTAAAGGAAGCTGCGTCTATGTGCCGTTTTTCCGACATGGATTTCGAGGTGAAGTCCCAACTAATCACAGGCTGCCTGTCGGATAAAGTCCGCCAGAAGGGACTCATGAACTCGGATATGTCACTACATGACTTAATAAACTACACAAGGACAACGGAGACGATAGCGTCGCACCTACAAACAATGCGACTGGAAGACAACACTGCTACTGCTACAACCGCCCCAATAAACAAAGTCGCGGACGAACAGCGCCGACCAAGCAACTACCCCCGGCAATACCGGTGCAGGAATTGCAACGGAAAATACCCACATGAGCGGGGACCGACGTCTTTCCCGGCATTTCATACCCAGTGCACATACTGCGGAAGGTGGGGACACTTCACCTCTACCTGTTTCAGAAGATTAAACGACGGAAACAGACAACGGGAAACAAATCGTCCCCCACGAACACAGACCAATCGACGCTCAGTGAACCGCATTGAAAACGACCAACGGAACCCACGTAGCAGTGGTAGTGATACAGAATACGTGTTCCACACAGCTGGATCTCGGAACTTGCCACCTCCAATTGAAATGGATACTCCAGCAAACAGGAGTTCATCTTTATTTTGGGGGCTTCCCAATCAAATAAAAGGGCAACTTGATGAACAATCACAAACTCTCCACAAAATCAATTCCACAGTCCAGAAACTTGAAGCTGAAAACGCTCTTTATAAACAAGAATTGATGACCGCCCTCGCCAATATTCACCAGTTATCATCTCTTTTGGATAACGAACGACGAAAATCCCATTTTCTTTGGAGAGACACTTCATCCAAATGCAAGAAATGCTATGCACAGAAACGAAGAGAATGTCACATGAAATAAATGAATTGAAGCTTAAATGTTGTCAACAGAATTTTCCTGCCACTCCTTCATCAACTACTTCTAGCAGTTTCCAACAAAGCAAGAGATTGTCACAAAATGCAACATATTTGCGTCCTCAAAATGATGTTTATGAAGACGCTCTCAAGTTTTATCAAAAGTTAAGAAACGTCCAACAACAGTTGCTTCAACAGATTTTCAAAATCCATTGTACTCCTCTTCAAATGTCCAACAGATGTCAACAAAATGTAAGTCGGCACCTTGTCCACAACCGTCTATGCCAGAGCCACAAGTCATGTCTCCCCTCAACTCCATCCAGAAAATGCTACACCCTAGACAGTCACACAAGAAAATTCATGACAAAACCTCTAGAACTGATGCCAGCCGTTCGAAAATGTCCAACACTTCATCTGACCAAGAACTTGATTCTTCCCCAAACCAGAACATAACTATTTCTTCCACTCAGAATCTCACATTGCAGGGTGATGAAGAAGATCTTCATTCTGATGATTCCAATTTTGCAGCTTTGGAAAGTCCGAAGATGGCTTGGAAAGTAGCTCATCCGAAGATTTGGCTTTAGAATGGCTGTGGCCGGACCAAAAAAAAAAAAACCTCAAAAAAAAAAAAAAAAAAAAAAAAAAAAAAAAGCATTGTAATATCCCAGCAACAGAAGGGAGATAACCCATAGAGGCACAAGAGTTAGGTCCCCTCCAGACATCCGGTGAATCTTAATCAGCAGCTACACAGCAAAAGGGAATTGGAGGCTACCATCACCGGAGGGACAATCAAGAACCATCCTAAAATCCTAGCAAGGCATTAATCGACGCCTAGCAAGCATCGATAGCTTCTTGCGCAGAACATTACAAACCCCAATAAAACTAAGACATTATTTAATTTTAAAAAAAGCTTTCTTTTTAAGGACATTTTTGTCTGAGGCCAATGTGTTAAAGTTGTTAAGTATTTTAAAATTAAGTTTGAATATGAGTATCTATGGAAATACACTTATTAAAAGATCTATTTTTACAGATCATAAATTTGAAAGCTTCTTACAGTCTGCGAACAGCTTCTGCAATTATTATTTTTTTCTTTTTTAGATTCAGTTCTAGGGAGGGAAATAGTGCAGGATTTGGACATATCTACGTTAAAAAAAAGTACCTAAAAAAATCAATAAAATATTAGCCTTTTAAAAGTGTTTAATTTTTAAGTATTACTTTATAGTTAAATAAGCTGGTTCACTTAAAATTCAAAAATACTGTCACTTCTGCCCGTCCGTCCGATAAATTGCCGTGACGTTAGTTGTCGCTGCATTGACGTGAACGTCAATTCACACCTCCAAAAAACCAATCATTGCGGTTAGACATGCTTCTCTTATTTCCAACTATTTTTTCTGCTAAAAAGTTAAATACTGTTTGTTTCAAATTACATTAAGTATACTTTAAATTTTCTAATTTTTCTAAAATAACTTTTGAAAAAATATAATTGAATTTTATAAGATTTCTAAACCAACAATTTCCCTTTTGCTTACAAAATTGTCAAAAATGGTTGGCATGATTAATTTTATGCCAATTTTTATGACTCAAAAAAAAAAAAAAAAAAGATTTTTAGCTAAAATTTCTGACGTGCTAGAAAGGATTAAAAAATTAAAAAAATATTCAAATAATACTTTGGTCTTTCCTCTTAATAATAACAAACATTTAGACGATAAAAAATTGTTTAATCAAAATTTGAGGCCTTTTTTATCAGGGTATACTCTTTTTTAGCTAAGTATTGGACATACCTACATCAATTTCAACAGTAAAATGTTGAGAGCTTGCTGCCAATATAGTACTACGGTTTAAATTCATAAAGTCTAGGTACAATAGAACAGCTGTCTCCAACCTTTTTTTCGCACGGACCGGTGTCATGCAAGACAATTTTTCCACAGACCGGGTTGGGGGACGAATCGGTGTCGGTTACGCGCTTAACAAAACACAATAAATAAGACAGCGATAGTCAATAAAATGAGAAACAAAAAAAGAACGTTTTTATTCTTTCTTTGCGACCCGGTACCAAATGGTCCACGGCCCGGTACCGGTCTACGTCCCATTGGTTGGAGACCGCTGCCATAAAGGAAAGTTCATCAGTGGGAAATGCAATGTCAATCGTAATCTGTCTTCTTAATTCCTGTTCTTTTATTACTTTCTCTCCATAATAATATTTTTTTCACACATAGTAACCTCGTGCGTCTTAGTGACTTTATCACCTTGCTTGGAGTGAAATGATTAATAAAAATTTCCTGTTTCGGGATTTCTGTATCCTTGATGTAAAAGCGTCATAATTAATTTTCAATGACTTCAAAGATAATATTTTTAGTGGGATAGTGATGTCCTTTTATACTCGGTGTTTTTCTTTCTTTCTTTTTTTTTCTTTTTTCCAATGTTTTCGTTGTAACAAAAAAACGGGACTGGAGGTGAAAATTAAAATTATACGCTCGTGTCCCAGGATTTATCTCTCTTCTACAGGGCTTCAGGATCATAATCTGGTGCTTCAGTCGGCCCCAAAAGAGGAAGTGTTGTAAAAGGATTTTTTATATGGGCAGAGAAGTGAAAACGTCACGTCTCTTATCCCGAGTATTGTGAAAAGGTGCGAACGAAAATAAAACAAAACCCTTACTCCGGTGTTAAATTGGAAATAAATTTATTAAATGACACAAAAAACAATAAAACAGAACGCAAATTTACAAGTTTGCACAAAATTTCCCTTTGTGCGCCTTATAATTAGACATGATAACAAGTACTAAAATTACAATATGTTAGGTTTATGAAAGATAAAGACAACTATAGATTTTTCAAAAACATATTCACTTAGTCTCATACATTCAACAGTTGAAAATATTTGAGAAGAATGGCAAATTTACAAGCGTCGCTTGGTAATTTAAACAATAGATCAGTTTTTAAGCTGGAATTCAATAACGTGATAAATCCTGTTTTTTACGTATAGAAAATAAGAAATTTAAAAAAATATTACGTGTAGATTTTTTTTGTCCAGTCTGAAATAAAATATTGTGTTTTGCAAGCACCAACCGCCAGAAAAATTTATTTGAGTTTTTATAAGAATTTACTTTTGTTGGAATGGAAAAAAAGAGTGCACGTCACCTTGCTTATTCTGAATGTTTAAAAGGTGCAAGCAAATAAGACTCAACTAATACGTGAAATTTAGAATAACAGACATTTGTTACAAAACATATTAAAACAATATAACAAATATAATATTTTACAAGATGGTCTTGCACAAATATTTCTTTTTGTACATCTTATTTAAAAACTAAAGCAGGATAACATTTTTGAAAAATTAAAAAAAAAAAAATCTTCGTAAAATCCTTGAAGAGGTAATGTAAATTTTGGATAAAGCAGAAAATACCTTTTGAAAAAAAAAAAGAGGTGCCCCTACCTAATAGAAAGACGAAGTAAAATCACAGCACGAAGGGAGCTTAGATCATTTCGAACTGTCGATATCACGGGTACTTTTTATAGTTTTTCTTTTACGGAACAGTTCTATTTGATTAAATTCTTTTTTGATTATATTCATTATAGAACAGTTCTATATTTACATTCTATTTACGTTTTCCCCTTATCTCTGCTCCGTTTCTTTATATAGGAAATAAAGAGGCTCCAGATACACGCTTTTGATTGGACATTAAATAAAATAGTAAATATTTTTGAATACAAAATATGAATCTGAAACAATCCACCTAGACAAAAGTAATTTTGGCGGTACTTTAGCCGTCAATTCTAAATATAGAAATCTTCACAAACACAATGTAACAATTTTTTTATAAACCTTCTAGCCTTCTTTAAAATGTACTTCTCTAAAAAGTACGTGTAATAGACAAATCTAGATGATTATAATATTTATTTGTTTACACTTTTTAATTAATTATTAATTTTAATTATTTTACGCTATTAACTAAAAAAAGTATATTTTATTTAATTATTCATGGCAAGATTCAGACAAATTTTTCGTATGTTTACGCTTGATATTACATTACTTTTTTTTACTGAAATAACAACATATTTACGGATTTTTCTTTATAACTGTAAATAAAAATTTGACACCCCAACCACACTTAAAATGTCCGCGCGAGATATCGAAAAATGGATGAGAAACAGACCTCTTAAAATATTTCTACAACGTTTTCTAATAAGGTAACCTATTCAGTATATAGTTCATTCATTAAGTACTGAAAATTCCGTGTGAATCGGATAATAATTCCCTGATTTTTGGCAAATATTTTAAAATAGTAGGTAGCAATTTTTCGCTTTCATTTCGGAAAGAGGCATCCATTAAATATTAGTGATATAGACTGAATGCTGGTCTACCGACACACACTCCCAACTCTTCTGTTGTATTTACTGTTCAATACACGATTTATCTGCAATCTCTTTTGTTATTTCTGAACCATTTACTTGGTCACAACATCTTGGCGACGAAGGATTTGAAGAAACAGATTTGGTGTTAAATCAAAAAGTTTTTTTTTTTTTTGGCCAGTGTCTACACAAAACTATACGCCAAAAAAAAGGATATACAGTCAGTGAAAAAAAAAAAAAAACTCCGCAAAACAATAGGATTTCTACAAGTTCAATTCAGTGGTTGGAAAGGAGGTTGGTAAACCTTGTTATTTTTTTTTTCTATTCCAACAAGAAGACGGTAAAAGAACTGTATAAGTCAAGCAGACTTATTGTTTTCACTAATAGGGTAAAGTAAAAATTTACCCCCTCTCTCGCTTTTAAATTTTTCTGAAAAAGAATTGTTCAAATCAAACAGACTTATTGTTAGGTTAAGTGAAAAAAAATGTTCCCCCTTCATTTCTTAATTTTTCGTGCCACTGCAGTAAAATGGATGGCTTTAAAAGGGTAATGCTAGAGTTATTAAAGCATCAACAGGAACAACAGCTACTGTTGGAACACACATTTCAAGAAAGACAAGAGAAATTCCAGCGAGAACAAGCAAAACACGAACAACAT